GTTAATAACATTGATTTACAATTAAATAAGAAAAATCGAACCACCTTGTACATGGCAAGCAATTCCATTATTCCTAGAAAGTTCATATCACCATTTGTCTGCCCCCCAAAGGACTATTCTACTATGCCTCCAATGGATGCATTTAATTTTTTATCCACGAGGAAAAATGAAACAAACAATATCTTTTTTCCATGACTACACGTTGATAATGTTAGTAGATAATATGGAAAATATCTCTATAGACCCCATTTTCAACTTTCATTTCTCCATTGACCTAAGGTTGCAAAACCTATCTTACTACATAGAAATTCACTCTATAATATCTCCTAACCCCCTGACCATATTTTATTCATTTTTTACTATTTTTTTTAACCCAAACAAATTTAAAAAAGACTGTTTTTTAAACCCCCGTCTCTCCTCACAGGATTCCTTTCTCTCTCCTCCGATCAACCTCCCAAACCCCTCTCTCTCTCTATCTCCCCCCGCACCAACTCGTCGGGAAACTACACTAACCCGGTCACCTGCTTACCGGAAAACTACAAGAGGCGATGATGGGCAGGATATGCCACCGGTTTCGATCTCTTGAGCCATTGTCTTGACCAACTTAGTGAGGGAAAGAACTGCCTCTAATTCGTTCCAAAAACCCATGTCTCCAATTATATCTGCAACTTCTCTAGCAAGAGGATCCTATGCGCAAAGAAGCTTAAAGGAGTCGTCCATTACAGCAAGTTGCAGAGCTCAAGCAATGGCTATGATGTCCTCTAAAGTGGGGCAAATCAGAGGGAAGTTTTCACCAGAAAACCCACTGGAAAAATGGTTTTCTGGCAAGACTCTGTTCAGCCCCACCTGATTAAGCTCCTGCAACTGCAACTTCTCGAAACAAAGGTAGTTGTTTGCCGAAATCCTTGATCAAGCTATTGGACCCTTGGAATTGGCAAGAAAGGTTCACTATCCAATGGTTTTCAAACTCCAAATTCCTCAAAGCCTTGGCTTTGAACCTATCGGCGACTATACCAACACATCTCTAAACAACTCCACCATTGCAAATTGCATTTACACTGTCCCAAAGTGTTTCCTCTGCAAAATTTGAAGGAACAGAGCCAGTAGTGAAAATTGCCTTTCTAAAAAGACTGGTTCCATAAGGGAGGTTAACTGGTGAACAGGGTTTCTCTTTCTATAGTGGTGAGAAGAGGTAGCAGTTGGGGCAGAGAGAGAAGATGGTGAGATGGGGTGAATGGTGGGAAGCTAGAGAGAGGTTTTGGGAGATTTGCAGTGACATTGGGGCAAGTTCCTCGCTTTAGGTGCTCGGAAGTTGTTCTCGAAGGGTTGGAAGCAGAGAAGAGAGTTGCAGAGAGAGCATCGAAGCTTTATAGCCTTGGGCGCACCAGTGTCCGGGTTTTGAACCAGGATGGGCTCGAGATGAACCCAATACCAAGCTTCCTTGCCTTTAATGGCCTTCAAGCGCACAGTCGTCAAGCCTTCATAGCGCTTGAGCACTTCTTTCGCAGAGACATCGTCTTCGAAACCAAGCGTGCTCGCCACAAGAGAGCATGTTTCTCACTCCTCCATGGCACTCTCTCTCACATAAGAGGACACAGCTCAAGCCCCAAGGTCGCCAGGAGCATTGTTCAACGTGAGGAGAGAGAGAGAGTTAGAAAAAAAGCGTCTTTTTTAATTTGTTTGGGTTAAAATATAAAGTAGATAAAATTATTTAGGGGGTTAGAAGATAGGTTTTGAAATTTTGGGTTTAAGAAGAAATGAAAGTTGAAAATAGGGTCAATGGAGATATTTTCCCTAGATAATATTCTTTCCAATAAGCTTTTGAAGATATCAGTGTGATTGCATTGAATAAGGGATTGAGCCTGAAATATTCCTTCGAAAAAGATATGGAGGCAAGAGGACGACCAAAAAGGCTTGTCAGCATGTGGAGGGTCTTTCAGCAGACAATCAATGATAATGGCTAGGAAAGTTTCCTAGAATTAACTGCTCATGCATGTAGATGGAACCCACTAAGCGCTACAGAGTTTGATCAAAAATGAGAGTAAGGGGTGGTCAGCAAACTTTGGAAGATTTCAACTAGGTATACATGGTTGGAATAGTCTCACTTGTTCTCCCCATTGAAGATTAAAAACCCATGTGGATGAGATAAGTGAAAACCCTCAAGCATGATCTCTTCTTCCTCTAGATATGCATGAAAAAGAAATGCACCCAGAGACCTGCAAACAAGTGATAGATCCAGTAGCCAAACAGGGGAGTGATGAAAAATGGCCTCAGGTTGGCACTGGTTGGGGAATAGAGTTATAATTTACAATTTTATAAATACTTTTTTTTTTTGGGTGAAACCCCTAAAACCAAAAGTGATGAGGAGTTGGGAGCTTATATGGCTCCACTCCATATAGACTTTATACTTACGGGCAATGGCGACTTAAGATGTCAAGTCTGGGGATTGGGACCCCCATAATCTTACAAATTCACTGAGAAACCAAGAGAATAAGTATTACAATTGAGCACTATTACTACCAAACAAATAAGACAAACCAAAGACGTAGAAGAAATATGTTGGAACGTTTCCTTGAAGAGTACTAACATGATCCCCGTACATTCAACCATACAAAAGTATGCATCTCTTTCCAGACAACACATCTAGTAGGCATCCAGTATTCTCCTCTCTAGTTTCTCCGTCTGTACAACAATTGGAGTTCTAGATTCAAAAAGCACAAACTTGAGTATAACAAATCCTTCCTTTTACCAAGTGAAAGCCCATCATGGTGGATTTAGATTTATTATATACCAGAATTCTGTAGATCATGCTTTTTGAATCTTCTATAATTAAAAACAGGCAATAACCTCCTACTTGGAACCATTTAATAAAGACAAACACAATATCATCTAAGTGATCATTAATAAAGAGTATGTGATATCTATGAAATGATTACCTGTTCAAGCCGATCATCAGCATTTTCTCTATCGACAATAATCATTGAGAAACCCATACCGCAAGCAGCACTACACATATAATTCCTGACTAATTAGTTTTAAGTCATAATAATCAGGGTGAATCATGGAACTTCTGGAGAGAAACCATAAAATGCATGATGTACCATAAACTCATACCTAATAACATGCATTCCCTCAAGGCTATCAACCTTTTTGGGGTTAGCAGAGGACCTATAGAGAAGACAGTAACAGTTTTTTAGTGAAAACATGGTATAACAAAAATAGAATACAAGCAAAAAATAAGTATATCTCCAAATGCGAAAACAAGCAATTTCAACTGATTGATACTGGAAATACATACTTCTGTCCATGCGGACCATAACCAAGCTCTCCATATTGAGCTTGGCCCCAACTTATACAAGAATCATCAGCACCAACAACATGATGAGCGAAACCTGAATCCATGCAACGTATATTCCATCCACTGATAACAAGCAAATAAAATCCAAATTATAAATCACGATGGCAAACAAAACCATACTAGCAACAGTGAATGGAGTAAGAGAACAAATAAATGATGTTCGCCAAATGTGAAACAGAGAAGGAAGAGCCAGTCCATTACATGCCAAACATATAGCCTAATAGAATAAGGGCAAGCTTTTTATGCTTCCCCTACAGCATAAACCTTATATAGTTCCCCTTATCCAACCGTCCATTCTGACTGGAGAGCTAAGATTTCCCCAATCACAATGTCACATCTCTACACTATTTTATTTTTCATTTTTTTTCTATAAACTATTTCGACACCAAATTTAGGACGTCCAATGCTCTATTCAACTTGCACTTGCAAAAGATATAAAAACAATATTTCCAATAAAATAAAATGACCAAAACACCCCTGAAAGTTTCAAGGGGTATTTTGGCCATTGTATTTTATCGAAAACTATTTTTAATATTTTTTATATGTGCTCCCCAATGAGTAGATGGCACTACCAAATTTCATACTACAATTTGTATAAAAAAAACTAAAAATAAAATACTTTGAGACGTCGAATCTAAGATCAAACGGTGAGTGGCTCTCTTGATAAAAATTGGACGGCTGAATGATAGGGGAAGCATAGATCTTCTATGCTATAGGGGAAGTATAGAGACCTTTCCCATAGAATAAAAGTCATAGATAGTTAATCCATTTATATGCATATCACAGTCGACATAAATCACAACTCTTTTAAAAGGGTACGGAGAGCTGGCAGCACGACACACAGAAGACATGGTTGGATATGAATTCAGGAGAAAAGCAGCATAGGAGGTAAATTATAAGTCCCGAAATTACTAAACTAAAAAAAAAAAAAAACCACCCCTATGAGGTGCAAAAAAAAATACTAATTTGATGACAAAAAAATTGAAAATGACACTAGAGAACAATCTTCTGAAGACATTATAGTATTAAGAAGATACATGAAGTCTGAAAGTACTCAAAGAAACTTAAAAACAAATGTCTGCAAACATAACAGTCAGAAGGAAAGGACATAAATAAAAAAAACAAAAAGAACGAAGGAATTAACTATCAGAAGCAAACCAAAAAAAGAGACAAGAAGAAAAAAAGAATACAGGTTCGACCCAAGCAACAGTGTTGTATAGCATAAACCATGTAAAGACTTTATGAAATAAAGAGGTTGAAGATAGAATTAGAAAAGCCCAAAATATAATAGGCCGAGACAACAAATTAAGGCTCCAAGAACTGAAGTTATTGAACTACCCCAAATCCAGGAGAGGCTTAGGATACATCCAATCGTCGCCCGTTGCCTTAATTTTACCCCATATATACAACTGCCCGCCACCTGGATTACATACCACAAAATGAATTCAGATATGAGCAAAGATGAACTGGTCAATGCCTATATATTTCCAAAGTTAAATGCAACAATGCAGCCATAGTATATATACACTTATAACATGATGTGACTCATACTTTCATTCCATTACTCACAAATTAAAAATGGCAATTGGTTAGCGCGAGTTGTCTGGAATAAGTAAAATAGTACTAGGGAATATTAGATACACATGATAATTCCAATTATTAATGTCAAATATAAAATCTAGAAATCAACAATCAACTTTAAGCCTAGAAACCATCACCAGAAAGAATCCAAAGCTAACCGATGGCAGTACAAGCAGCACAATTCTCTATAGCAGTGGCATGACCCTCTATAAAGACCAGGAGAAGCAACTAATCCCAAAGGAGAATCGTCAAGGAAAGGAATGCCTTAACCACCATACACAAAACCCCAAGAACCATCCAAACAATGAAAATAACTGCCTCAAGGCCCTCAATCTCGACCAAAGATCATGCTCAATTCCTAAAAGGACCCATGTGACCACAACAGCAGCAGCATTAACAAGAAACAATGACAGTAGTAGTAAGGAGTAGTGGTGGTGATGGTACTGGTAGTGGTAGTAGTAGCACTGGTGGTAGTGGTGTAATAGTGGTAGTGGTAGTGGTAGTGGTAGCACTGGTGGTAGCGGTGTAATAGTGGTAGTGGTAGTGGTAATGGTCATGGTAGTAGCCTAGTAGTAGTGGTGGTGGTAATGCTAAAGATCGTGTTGCTGCTGGTGGTGGTGGTGGTGGCAGTAGTGGTGGTGGTGGTGGTGGTGGTGGTGGTAGTGGTGGTTGTTATCATCAACATCATCATTACTATTAGAAGAAGAAGAAGAAGAAGAAGCCATTATGGGAAATGTATGAATCTTTCTTGCCATGATGATGTTTTCCTGCAACTTGTAGTGAGGAAGTAAATCACTATTGGCATACAAGCAAAAACCTCGAACTCATTTTATGTATAGTGGAGCTTAGATCCCTCCTAACCAAAACCTCAATCTCAACGACATGGAATCTTGCTCCCAGGCATCCTAGGATCTAGCTCCTTAACTTGTTGAATGCACGGACGTTAATTCGAACTCAGAGAGCTTCTACCTTATGGCGGTCGGCATTCCCCAAACCAACCCCACTCCTGCACCTGCTTCCACCCCCACTTCCAGCAACTATGGCCAGGTCCCGCTGGGTCAGGTACCGACCCCTTTGCACCTCTACCAGTTCAGTGGTCAGCCCGATTTTGACAACAATGGTTTAGCCACATGCAAAACAATAAGTCTAGAGGACTACTATCTATTACAACATATCAAAAAACTCAACTATACAAATACATGATACAAATGAGTTTGCACAGTTCAATAATGTATATATCGTATTAGAATTTATTTGACAAAATAACCAATTGCAAATGATAAGTAAGAAATTAATGGAAAAATCCAACTTTTTTGGACATGTCAAACCATTACCAGCAGTGCATGCTGAACTTTGAGAACCAGCTGAAACAATGGCATTAGGAGGCAAGACATTCTGCCTCTGGAAGGTCTCAACAAGACGTGGAATCCACTCATCCTTCTGCTCTCTATGTCCAAGCCTATCCAGTAAATGAGTATGAAACAATTAGGAATTGTCTAATGCAAATAAAATTAGGTAATCCAAAAAATTTAGTTTTATTATTTTTTTAGATGGATTGTTTTTCTAGGATTGTGGGAGGTACTAAAGAGATTTTACGGAGGTTCATTTCTTAGGAAAGATAAACCTTTTGTTTGGCGTGAGTTGTTTTTTAGGAGGCTTATCTCTTTTATTAATGTAGGTGCATGGATTTATCATTTAGTGAGGGGAGAAAACATGGAGTAGATAATAATAGCTAGCTTTTTATAGTTATCTTTTAGTTAGGAGTTATCGTTTAGAAAGGATAACAAGAAGATGAGAGACATCAATTGTAAGGAGGATTTTTATCTTTATGTAATGATCAAAGAGAGAGATTTATAATGACATGGGAAGAAGGAGATAGGAAAATGTCGGAGAGAGTCTTTGGTAGGTTTTATTTTTATTATTCATTTTTAGCTTGTATTTAAAGCGAAAAGGTCCTTTTGAAGAAACAGATTATTGGAGAATAAACAAAGGGTTTGTTCTTGTGAAAAGATCTTGGGGTGAACTCCCTTGCAGACCCAGAGAAGTATAATTCACTCATCCCATATTTTATCCTTTATTTTTTCTAGATTATTTTTTTTCCTTCAATCAATTGGTATAAGAGCAAGTAAGACTCATCAATCACAATGCCGCCAAAACCCACTTTGACGATCGAGGATGTATTGCTACAAATTATGGAGTTTGTGAAGCAACAAATTAAGGAGAGTATAAATCAGGCAATAGAAGGTATTCAATGAGACATAAACGTAATTAATTAGAAGTTGCAACGGTTCGAAGATACCATTCATCAAGGGGAGGAAGTTTGCAAACCACATAAATTGAAGCCAAATTTCACCATAGAGACGAATCGAGTTCCACAATTAGCGTGGTGCATCGATCCAAAACGTCAAAAACAAATTTGCAGGCAAGATCCACATTTTATACCACATAGATTGACGCCAAATTTCACAATAGAGACGAATCAAGTTCTGGACTGACACAAGGTGCCGATCTAGAATGTTACAAACAAATTTGCAAGCAAGATCCACATTTTATAAAGAGTCCATGCGATTTCAATATTTACAGTTGATCTCCCTGAATTTCATAGTAAGTTTAGTATAGAGGCTTTTATTGACAGGCTAAGTGTAGTTGAAATTTTTTTTTAGTAGCAAGGTTTAAAAAATCGAATCGGTGACTCGATTCGGCCTCACCCATACCCATGTCAGATTGGACAATCGGCGGATCGGATTGGAGAATTGGCAGAATTGGTAACCGGCATAATATTGTAGATTGGATTGAAAACAGCATAGCATAAGCAGCATAAGCAACAAAGGTAGAGCGCGCTAGCGCGAAAGCCTAAGCGGCTTTCTTGCTCTGGGTAAAGCAGCTTAGGTAGAACGCGCTAGCGCAATTATTTATTCGCTCCTTAATAGCAGCTGCTAACTATTCAAAAGTGAGCGCGCTAGCGCGAAAGCCGTTGGTTGCGGCTTTCTTGCTCGGGCAGTTTCGCGAAGAAAAAACCACTCGAATGAAGGGCAGAATGAAAACAGATACAGATCAAACTTCAAATATTAGGCATAACAACCCTTTCTTTATTGGCATTTTTCTTGATTTTTTGATACAAGGGAAAAAAGAAAATAAAGATAAAGAAGGTAGTCTAAAAAATCCTTCTTTGAACTTGAATCAAATCAAAGATCCTTAAATTTTTGAATTCAATTCTAATTCTAAATTCTAATTCTAAGGAACCAAAATCTTAGTTTCATAGAACATCTTAATTGTAATTGAATTAATACATAATCATCAATGAATTCCTTTTTATTCTACAAGTGTTGAATCCGAGCAACAATTTTTGTCTAAAAAAATCACTATAAATCTGTAAAAATAGTGTTCTTTTAGTTTCTAAACGTAATTAGGAGTGATGCATTATGTACTTTCATTACTTTGTAAAAATAAGTGAATACTGAGATGTTTTTGTTCTATCAGGATATCTGTATAATTATTAATTATAATATTGCATCAACATAATTTAAAGATATTAAAAAATATTTCATATTACAAGATTAAAAATAATAATTTCCCATATAAAGTGAAATTAGAATCACATCAAAGTATTAAATATTTATTAATTCGCTTTATTCATCCAAAATTATGACAACCTAACTAACTATAATATTTATATAATGAAATTGAAATTGTTAACTTGTATATTATAATTATTTTATTATACAAATAAGATCAAATCTAAAATGTCTTATTACATCATCTAATTTAAAAAAAAGTATATTTACAACTATAAAAAAATGATACATTACATAATTTATAATGTAAATAAATTAATAAATAAAAATACAAGATTTGATTATTAATGTATCATTATTAATTATAATATTACAACAAATGTGATAAAAAATTTATTAGAAAATGCTTCTATAGCATATGATTAAAAATAAAAATACAATCCCCAATAAAATTTAATGTTAAGATATTAAAAAAAAAAATGAAAAATAAAGATCAAAATTCAAAAAAAAAAAAACTTATCGGCAACATGCACATTAGCAACAAAAAAAAAGGTACTAAAACCTATCGAAAAAACCATTTTATTAATAAATAACAAAACCTTTTATGTGGCAGTTTTTTAATTTAGCATGTTAATTAATTCATTTAATTAAAAAATATATTGACGAGACTCATTTAATATGACACACTAGGGTTCATAAATTAAATGGCATGCTAAGGCTTCAATGTCACGTTAAAGGTATATCATATGATGCTCATTTAAGATTCACGTGCAATGATTTACCATATAACTGCATGCTCATTTAAGATGCACGTTGAGGTTTATCTCATTTAGGATCAATGCTAATTTAATATGGTTGACTGGCCTGCTCAAATAAAGGGACAAAAGTAGTCCCACATCGAAAATATTGGACATGTTATGCTAGTAGAAAATGAAGGCTACCAGATTACTCAGTGTAAGCTTATTGTGTGGAAGAGCCAGTATTGATGGAGCCGCACACGTGATTAAATGCATTTTTTTAATAAGAACCAATGATGTGTCCGAATCATGACATCATAAGAGTCATGACATCATCAAGCCGGTTCCTTATAGCAAATCATGCAGATCCCGTTTTATTAACGGATCCAAAATAGTGTCACTGATACTCGATCCGGATCGGGTCGGTGATTTTTTAAACATTGTTTAGTATAGTGATTTGTCAGATGAGTGTAAGGTTAAACTTGTCACAACCAAGCTCCGTACATGATGTGGCTTGGTGGGAGCAAATTGAACAAGCCCAAGTTCATGGTGGAAAGGCAAAAATTATTGATTGGCGAAAGATGAAAAAGAAATTGAGAGAAGATTTTCTTCATTTGGATCACGAGCAAATTTTCTTTCAAGATCTCCAAAATCTACAGATTGAAAAGAAAGTGGAGGATTATACTAGAGAATTTTGTAGACTAGTAGCTCGAAAGAACCTCCAAGAGACTAAAGGACAAAAGGTTGCTTGATATGTAAATGCGCTTCAACCTACCATTAGAGATGTCTTTCCACATCGGCCATAGACCTGAAGTGAAGCTCTTCAAATTTCTCTACGTGTAGAGACCAAATTCCAATAGAGCTCTAATAAGCCCTTTCTCACCCAAAAGGAGGTTTCGCACCAACGGCTATTTAATGGAAATAAAGGGATACCTCGAAGATTACTTGCTTTCGATACACTGAAACTGGACACCGTGCATATAAATGCCCAAAAAAGAAGACAGAGGTACATTTGGCTAAAGAAGTGGATAAAGTTCAAGAAGAAGATCAAGTTACAAAAATAATCCTACACGGTGATGAACGGGATACTCTTTGAATCCATTTTGAATTTTCAAGCTCGAGGTTGAGCTTCTCCCACCCCGGAGAATGATGCAAATAAAATTAGGAAATTTAAAAAATATATAGTTTTATTATTATTTGAGATGGGTTACTTAAAGGATTGTGGGATTTGCTAAAGAGATCTTCGAGAGTTTCTTTTTTTTAGGAAAGATAAATCTTTTGTTTGGTGTGAGTTGCTGTTTTAAGGAGGCTTATTTTTTGCATTAACATGGGTACAAGGGTTTATTTTTTTTACTGAGGGGACAAAACATGGAATAGATAATAGTAGTTATATTTTTATAGCTATCTTTTATTTAGGACTTATCTTTTGGAAAGGCTAACAAAAAAATGAGAGGAATCAATTGTAAGGAGGGTTTTTATCTTTTACATAATGGTCAGAGAGAGATAATAACATGAAAGGTGGAGATAAAAAACAACCTGGGAGAGAGCCTTTGGTGGGGTTTTTTTTTTTAATTTATTTTTAGATTGTATTCAAAGGGAAGAAGTCCCTTTTGAAGAAACAAATTATTGCAGAACAAAGAAAGAGTTCGATCTTGTGAAAATATCTTTACGTGGACTCCCTTGCGGACACAAAGACAGGGTATAATTCTCTCATCCCTTATTTTATCTTTTATTTTTTCTGAATTATTTTTTTTCACTCATCAGTGTCTAACAGTAAGCTATTGGTTAAAAGGTTCAAGTACTTGGCACACACAAACTCATCTCATTAAACTAGCTTGATAGAGCCACAGCAACCAAATGACAATGTAAAATGTGCCTTCCAATACCTTCCATATCCACCAAACCCCCACCTGAAATAATGCAACACAATAGAAGGGAAAACTCTATTCAGGCCAAACAACTTCTCAGATAAATGTAACAAAGCATGGGTAGTTCAGCTGCAAGACTTGAACTTGAGAAGTACTGTCTTGATTAACGACACCTTAGCAAATCAAGCCAAAGCACAAATCCTTTTCCAAAAAATAGCACTAATAGCCAAATTTTGAGGTCCAAAATGGTGTCCTAAGTATAAAAAAGGGATCAGGTCTGGAGCAAAAGTTGGAAATCACATGGAAAAAAAACATTTCGAGTCCAGCAATTATAATGATGATGATTACAAACACTCGTTTAAATAATATAGATGGCCGCGAGCCAAATACTAAAAAGCAGTTGATGGAAGTTACAAAAATACAGGCAACAAAGGAAAAAACCCGCAACATTTAGTAAGATCCCATAAATTTTGTGAAGTCCATTTAACTTCAAAAACGATTCACAAAAAGCAGAAAACTTGGTAAGTAACTAGAAGCAAAAAGCCCACTATAGAAATTCTACAGATGCAAATTCATGGCTACAGTTCCCACAAAAGCACATAAATTACAAGCAATAAACATGATATCTTAAGAGAGGTAAAGTGAAGGTTAGGGTGACATACGTGTAAAGAAAACCATTCGAATCTGCTGCAACTGGATACATGTGACACAAAATCCACAACAGTAGGGCATCAATGGCAAACTCATGTGAGAGTCCATATTCAGGATTTCTAATCAAATAATTAGAAAGCATGGGAAAGAGACGAGATCCAAATAAGAAAAATGTAATCATGCTGAAAAGAACAGCTTCAAAATCAACTTAACCTGTGTGGTTTGTTCCACAAGCAACTTTAACAATAGTTTTCTCAGCAAGTGAAGCAATTGCACGTGGACGAGGTTGGGCCTCATAAGCTAGCCTAACAGAACTATCTCTGGCATTGTACTGCAAGTCCATGGAATATCTACTTCAAGGATTCCAAAAAAACATCCAGTAACGGGGACTGCAATACCAGAAATCTAAAAATATGTGCTGATCATGCATACCTCATGGTCAGTTCCATGCCCAAGTTGACCGTATATTGGGAGACCAGCAGTTCTATAAACCGCAAAACAACTCATCTCAGATTAGCTCAAGTCAATAACCAATCAATAGAAGTATCATAATGACTGGACATTTTAGCATTTTAAACCAAAGAAACAAGAATAAGAGAATGATAAATCTGAAAACATACAATATTGATGATCCTTCGAGTGAAGATAGCCAAACAGTAAAATCACCCCCACAGACAGCATCTGACACTTGAGGCACAAGGCAACGGACTGGAGACGTCTCGATTTCTAAAGAAGTAACAAAATAAAACTACTAGATTAGAGATGGACAATTAACAATGAATTCATAAGCCAGCCATGAACAATGAGATGCATTGGCAGATGCACTGGCAGAATGAACAAATTGAGTAAAATATAGAGTAGAACATAACTGACGCAACCGCATGATATATTTACTCTTTTCCATATTCAGCTGACTCGATGATTAACAACACAATTGAGATAGAAAATTACGAATAAAGGCAGTTAGGAAATGGCAAAATACAGACTTCAAAAATAGTACAACTACATTCTGCAGCGCTAAGAATTTTTTAAGACCATCCTGTGTAAACTATTCAAGAGAGAGAAAAATGCACAAGTAAAAGTGAGGAGAAGAGATGACTGCAATGGATTGTCCAATGTTCTTTAGGATTTGGACATCCACATTTTTTATATACAACATGTCCAATAAAGAATTACAAGTATGCCCTACATTTTTTATATACATGTACAATAAAGAATTACAAGCATGCCCTATGTTAGTACATACATATTGGACATGTGAATAACATACCAATATGAACATGTTCTTACAAGTGTAATTGCTTATCATGCCATATCTTGAATACACTCTTCAGCCACACACCGACAACAATCATGAACAGCTTGTCTTTTAGAACCTTATATCTCTACTTGGTCAGCCCTTTTGTAAACATTTACCAACCTGTTCACTGGTCCCAACAAATTTTGTAAATATTTCTGTCTTCACTTTTCTATCTTACAGAGTGTGGATCCATTTAAGTGTTCGTTCCATGAAGCACTGTATTCATGAAAATAACTATGGCACATTGATTATCACTATATAAAAGCTATTGCGTAATTCAAGACTGACAACCACGGCAAGACTCCTTATACATGTGACTTGAGAAGTGACCCAAGTTATGTGGGAAGTCACAGCTGCCTAGGGGTGAGAATTGACCTGATCCGGATTCAAAATGGGGATTTCGAACCCTATTCGGATCCGGGTATGGACCCAAAATTTGGATCCGAAATCCGGATCCTGACCCAAAAGTCAGGTCCGAATTGAAATCCCGATCGGATCCAAGTGCAAGTGTATCTGATCTGGATCCGACCCAAATCCAAATCCACATCCATATCCAAAACGGTTTTTTTACTAATAAATTTTTATTTTATATATACAATTTTTTTAAGTAGCAGTATATAGAGTAATCCATATCCATATCCGATATATACGATTGAGATCTAGGATCTGGTTCGGACCCAAATCCAACACGAATCCAACGTACACTATTTAGATCCGAATCTGATGTATACTTGTGAGTATAATATACCTTGTCATTGATGTATTCCAAGGAATAGCCAGTGCCCTACATGACTGGACATACATAAATCAAGACTTAAGTATGCTCTCTCTCTTGTATATAATATATATGGTCGGCTCCATGAATCCTAATCCTCCATTCTTCACGGATCATG